CTGTACCCTGTCCCAGGTCAGGATGCACAATGAGAGCCCATGCTCTGGGACCTGCAGTCTTTTTCCTAATCTGGGTGATTGGTGGTGCCAAAAAATGCAAAAAATTTGGGGTTTGTATATGAGAGGTTGGTAGGTGGCAACAAACCTGGACAATTTATAATGTAGAGTCCAGTTTAAAAAACTGGCTGTTTTCAAGTATGAAAACTCTTTAGGACAAAAACATCTGTCTAAAAATTCTTGAATCATGGAGTAGGAGGAAAATTCAGTCCATAAAACCTCAGATGTTTTGTCAAAGACAACAGTTGAAAACCAGTAAGGGTCAGTAAATTGCTGAGAAGATTTTAGGTCAAATTAAAGAATTTCTGAAAGTTACTTTGGCCAAAACAAACAAACAAAGAAACCACCTAACACTCTGGCCAGGAAAGCAATAAACTACCTTATCAGTGAATGACTCAATACCCTCTGAAACTATACCACACAGAGATGTCTTCTAGGTCTGTGAGTTTTACCAAGTTAGGTGATTCCTAACAATCATTCCTTAATCCTGGGCTTTTTGGGTACTTTGCTGCAGGTCATTCATGCTGCCTGGGAAAAGAATTGAGCTGACTGTCTCAGCTTTGTCTTTGACCTTCAACTTTTCTGACTCTCTCATTTCTGGCTAGAGCCATAACCCATCATCTCCAGGTCCTCAGCCCTGGGTCTGCCACTGGCAAGCTCTGCTTGCAAACCAAAAATGAAAGAGGAGAACAATTGTGTTCTCAGGAGCTTTGCATCTATAACTGGGCAGATTGTTCAATATTGGCTGAATAAATTATGATTGATAACACACAAGGATCTTCCAGAGAAAAGAGGAGAGAGTCAACAAGTAAGGGAAGAAGATAAAACAATCCTCTTGTGTAATCCTTAGAGTTTTCACCTGTGGTTAAATAAAATTATCTTAAAGTAGGATACAAAAAAAACATTCTTTGTGCTCTATGATTCCCCATAGAGGAATGAACTGCCAGGTCTCAACCTTACAAACCCTATTTCAAGGTTCTCTCTCCTTCCAAGCAAAAGACCCTTAATTCTTTCCAGGAGTACTTTGTGTTCTCTGGAGAAGAAAAGAATATTCCAGATTTTTGTAAAATTGCCCTTGGAATTGTGTGTCCATGGGGGTGGGGAGAATAAAGAATGTTAAAGAAAAACATATCTAAAAGCATCTACAAGAAAAAGTCAAATTATATATATACCTCTAGTCTGTGGTTACAAGGGCACAGGTATACTCATATTTTCTCTGGCCATAGACCTGAAGAAATTATTTAGACTTTCACTTCTTCCCCATTTAAAACCCACCAGTTAAACTACAGGAAATACATGTAAACTTTTTTTAAAAGAATAATTTATTTAATTTAACTTTTATTATTATTAGTTTTTACTCTGCTATAGAATACGCGCATTCTCCAAAAAGAAAGAAAGTGAGAAAGCAAGCTGCCGCATAATAATTATGTAATATTATGTCATGTTGGTGAGCCTAATGCGAAACCAAACCATGGTCAACCCTGTGAGAGTTCAGTGCCTTAACCACCCTGCCACTTTCTGGCCCCAACATATGAATAGCAACAAATTTTAATTTGCCCATGCAAAACATAAATTGCTAAACTAGTCAACTTACTCATTCTATTTCAGATATTGTGAATCACAAATGGAGCAGTCTGTTCAAGCTCATTTTGAACTTACCAAAAGCATTACTAATACACTCTATCATTAGTAAGGGAAACAGAATTGTCTCAATCTCTTCTCCATATCAGGCTCTCCTGGGCAGACTCGCTTACGGAGCAGAGCATCAGGAGGAGTAGAGAAAAGAGCCCTGGAGAAATCCCTGTCCTGTCTCCACTGAGAGCAGTCAGTTCCTATCAGGGTCTTTCCTATTTGGGGTAATGAGAGTAACCAGCTAAGCAGGATTGGACTTGCAGTCGGAAAAGGAAAGACATGACTGTAAACAAACATGTACTATTTGAACCTCTAAAAAAGATTATAACCTTCATTTTTAAATATCACACAACTCTGGGTTTTATTACAACATTCTTCCTTGTTATCCTGTTCACACCCCAAAACTGTCTCCTCTATTTGTTGAATCATGGATGAAGTTGTGCTAATTTTAATAGAATCTATGGGGCAAGTAAAACAGAATTATTTCTCATATTCAGAGCCTTAGAAATTTATTTTAAAAAAATTATAGGGACCAGCAGATTGTGTGGTAGTTAAGAAAGCTGGACTCCCCCATGGTCGACCACTATTCGAGTCCCAGACCTGGCGAATTGCTTTATCACTTTCTCTCTCTCTCTCTTATTCTGTCCCTCTGTAGTCAAATTTAAATAAATAAATAAATAGATACATTAAGTTAAATAAAATAATTCTTTAAATAAAATTATTTGATCCAGTCTTCTGTATACGGAAAGACTGTGACAACAATAATACACAGAGGTAGTTAAGACCCTTTTTTCGATATTAGTTCTTTTCCTTGGAAGTGATGATAATGAGATGTATTTCACAGGATGCTGAATGATTAAGCTGGATGAAGCCCTAGTATATCTGAGCACAGTTCCCAGCAAAAAGTAAGAATTCCAAAAATAATTATGTAATATTATGTCATGTTGGTGAGCCTAATGAGAAAAAAAACATGGCAGTGCTTTAAGCACTTCATGAAAATGTCTCTAAACCTACAATATAATACCTTAAAAGAGACTACTCTCCAGTAGACAGATTTAAGTACAGTTTATTACATAATTTGAAGGATCCTAGAAATGCCTAACCTGTACCTTTTTTCTAAGCTGCCAGATACTTCCTGCTCTCTCAGAATTCAGGGGAGAAAGGGGCCAGCAGATGGCAGTTATGTCACTGGACTCCCACATGGTCGACCATGGTTTGATTCCCAGACCCGGTGGCTTAAAACTCACGCCGGGCGCGTGTGCGTGCGTGCCCAAGATCCTGAGAGGAGAATGGAGGAGAAGGGATGGTGGTTTGGTCATCATCCCTGGGGTGTGATCTCTCACTTTCTCTCTCACTATTTCTGTCTCTGTCTCTCTTTCTCCGGCCAGCACGCATGCCCTAAGGCAAAAACCTCTTAAAATGAAAATAAAAAGAAAAAGAATTTAGGGAGGGAGACTTTAAGAATTCTTTACCTCTAATGTAACTGAGGATACTATATTACTTTATGCATAATTCTTTTCTCCCAACAACTCCTGTGTTGGAGTTAGTCAACACTCCCTTCCATTCTCACAATGTATACATAACTTTGTCCCGAAGTAATTTTTTATTATAGTGGATTATCCTTGGAGTGGTTATAATTCTGCTTTCTTTTGAGTAACAACAGTTCCCTATTCAATTTAGTGATTCTAGTATACAGGAGAATGCCCAGGTAAAGGATCAAAAGGTAAGAGAATAATAGTAATATTAATCTACAGTGTATAGCTTGCCAAAAATATATACCTGGAACATCATATTCAAGATGGAAAAGGAAAATGGAATAGGGGAAGGGAGGACAGTAAAGGTGGACTTCATCAACTCTACAGTACTGCAAGGGAAGACTCAACTTTTCTTCATACATGATAAGCGTTGCTGTCTCATAGCCATGGAGAAATTCCCTTTAAAGTTGTTTCTTCCAGAAACTTGAAGATCTGGCAAAAAGAAAAGAGAGAAAGAATCTACAAAGTAAAAATGAATTTATAGACAAAATAGAAATTATCTACCTTTATTTTCAGTGTATAATAAGTAAAGTCCCCAGTTAATACAAATAAATACAGCTGAAGATCAGAACTGAAATGGCATCGTGACTAGAGACATTTATCTGAATCCCTTATTCTTGCCAGGCTCTGCTAGTTATTTGGCCACTTATATTAGTAATATTGTATTAATGGAATGGTAGTCTATGTAGTCATTAAAAAGAAATCAAGACACTACCATAGTGGTACTCTGTAACAAATTTGTCTACAGTGTTGGAAGTCACATGATCAACTATGGATATGGATCCATGGTCAGTTTGACATACTTGTGAGCAGACACAAGATCCTGGTTAGCTGCTGGAAAGCTGGGGAAAGGAGATTATGGGATAAAAACACACTGTGAAGTGTGTTTCTCTCTCTCTTTCTGTCTTGTGCAAGTGCATATGCTGTCTTTCATGAATAAAATAAACTTTTAAAAGTACATTTAAAACAAAATAAAGGAGAAAAAAGGCTTACAGGTAACATTTAGAGTCTCACTGTCACAGAAAGGTAAGTTTTCTATGTTTCTCTAAATACATGACAATTCTATTGAAAATTAATATCGAAAAAAATCAAACATGTATAGATAGACCATGTAACTTCAGTCCTCAATAATGTTTTTAAAATTTTATTTATTATCGGGACAAGTAGTTAGCGTAATGGCTATGTCGCTGAACTCCCACGTAGTTGAAGCGGTTTGAGGCCTGAACCCAGTGGCTTAAACTCACGCCAGGTGCATGTGCATGTGTGCCCAAGATCCCAAGAGGAGAATGGAGGAGAAGGGATTGCGGCGTCACTATCCCCCCTGGGGGGGTGATTTCTCGCTTTCTGTCTCTTTGTCTCTCTCTCTCTGTTGAGCACACGCACCCTATAGCAAAAATCTCTCCAAAAAATTTATTTATTATCATAATCTTTTTATATTATATTGAATCACATGTCTTTACAGTGTATTACATTTCTTTTTCCAGCACTATTACCATGCATATGAGTCAAGACAAAGACATTACTTATCCACATCATCATCAAGTAGCTTTTCATCATTTTCTTCAGAATATTATTATTATTTATTCCTCAATAATATTTTAATGGATAGGAATATCTCAGTAGTATGATATTAAGGATAAAAAGACAAATTCACTAGACTCGAGATAACCACAACTTGTATATCTATAGAGAAATTGTTCTATCTAATATCTGGAGTTAGTACTAATATTAATTTATAATTTTACAGGTTAAAGTTTGAGAAAAATATAGCAAATTATGAGAGCACACAAAAATGGTACCACCTCCAATGAGGTTTCAAGTTTTCTCCTGAATTGTTTTGTCAGATCCCCTAGTTGGCAGCATTGGCTGTCCCTACCCCTCAGCCTCCTCTTCCTTCTGGCCATGGGGGCCAATGCTATTCTCCTGACCACCATCCACCTGGAAGCTTCTCTGCATCAGCCCATGTACTACCTGCTCAGCCTCCTCTCACTGTTGGACATAGTGCTCTGCCTCACTGTCATCCCCAAGGTCTTGGTCATCTTCTGGTTTGACCTCAGGCCCATCAGCTTTTCTGCCTGCTTCCTCCAGATGTACATCATGAATTGCTTCCTAGGCATGGAGTCCTGCACATTCATGGTCATGGCTTATGATCGCTATATAGCCATTTGCCATCCACTCAGATACCCATCCATCATCACTGACCAATTTGTAGTCAAGGCAGCCATCTTTATTTTGGCCAGGAATGTTCTTTTAACTATGCCTATCCCCATTCTTTCAGCAAAACTGTATTATTGTGGCAGAAATGTCATCGAGAACTGCATCTGTGCAAATATGTCAGTCTCCAAGCTCTCCTGTGATAATGTCACCATTAACCGCTTTTACCAGTTAGGTGTAGGTTGGACCCTACTAGGATCTGACCTCATCCTTATCTTCCTCTCCTATGCCCTCATACTTCGAGCTGTGCTGAGACTCAAGGCAGAGGGTGCTGTGGCCAAGGCCCTAAGCACATGTGGCTCCCACTTCATCCTTATCCTCTTCTTCAACACCATTCTTCTTGTTTTGGTTCTCACATATGTGGCTAAGGAGAAAGTGGCCCCTGAAGTGCCAGTCTTGCTCAATGTTCTCCACCATGTTATACCTGCAGCTCTTAATCCCATTGTTTATGGGGTAAGAACCCAGGAGATTAAGCAAGGAATCCAGAGATTACTGAAGAAAGGGTGGTGAAAAAGACAAATGGATTTCTGAATTGCTATAATAGCATAATTATGATAATAATAATGAATCAATAATGGGTGAGTGGCCTTATGTATATTTCTATGAACTATATACTCAAACTCGGTACACTAGATGTATGTACTCATTCCTGAGGCTATGGTTTCATTTTCAGTTTTCTTTTTTCTTACTCTTCTATCAAGAATATCCTTCACACTTTCTCCTTTCACCCCAATTTTATAATCTTATTTTCTCTTTAAACTTACATCATTTAGAGCTGCTTCTACAGTGTGAAATGTATGCCCCTGTTTCTGTATCACAAATTTCAAATTCTTAAAAGTATGACAGTGAGTATATTTAAGGAGTTCGTTATGTGTAAAGCACTCTTATTCTTATTTCCACAAAGATAGTATATTGGAAAAAAGACACAGGACTTCATATTTCAATTCTGTATGATAGATGGTTCATACTGATATGTTATTAGATCTCGTTTTCTGATCATTCAGCCATCTCATTGTGTTCTTTTTTCCCTGTGTCTTTGTCTCTTCTCTTTTCTTCTAGTAGAAAAGCTAAACTTTTGTGATATGCATTGCAAGCAGGGAGAGTTTTTTTCTTTTTTAACCATACATGAAACAGTTATCGATGATTTGTATTAGTTAGGAGATCATTTGGTCCTATTCCTTAAGATATCTGTTCTTAGAATACTTTTCCTGTGAATCCAGGATGTCATCCTTTACAGTGTGCCAACATAGCTCTGATAATGAGTCAAATGTTTATTTGACTTGTAATATATGATCCAGTAATAATACAGAAATGTAAGATAACCTAGATGAATATTATTTTCTTGTTTATTGGATAGTTTCTAAATACATGTTGTGTCCTGTGAATTCTTTATAGGTATAAAGACAAAGACATTAGGACAAGCAGTTGTCATAATGGTTATGTCTCTAGATCCCAACGTGGTTTGAGTTCCAGACCAGGTGATTAAAACTCACATGCATGCCCAAAATCCTTAGAGTAGAGTAGAAGAGGGGATTGTGGCATAGCCATGTCCCCTGATAGTGATTTCTAGTCTTCTGTCTCTCCTGTCTCTTTACAAATACATACACTCTATAGCAAATATCTCTCTCAAAAAATAAAAGAAATAAAAATGAGACAAACATGAATAGATTTTTTTTTTTTTGGTTTTGACAAGCTCACAGTTTCATTAGGAAGAATACAAATTTGAGTTCCAGGAACTTATTCTGCTCAATTGGAAAACAGTGAGTAGTGGAATAGGTACATGTATGGGCAGTAAGATACTTGGTGATATAAGAATGCACTAGACAGAGAATAAGAGCTCTGGGTAACAGGCACTGTGTGATCAACTTAAAAAACAAACAACTTGGGTTTCTAAGTGGGAATAAATCAGGGGGTTTCACTGTGTTTCATGTTACTCATATATTACCTGAGAAGAGTCAACTATTTGTTTTTGAATATCCTTTCTAAATATAAGATTGTGTGCCTTGATAACAACTTATGTATTACTTTGTTTTTATCATGCAAGAGAAATCTCTCAATAGTGAAATTATAATAATTGTCTCCAAAATCTGGGTCTTTCAGACTTCACCGAAAGCACATGGGCTTAAACCCTGGCTTAATTATGCTTACTGTCTGAAAAGCTCTGTTCATTTCTTCTCTATCATCTTGTAATGAAATATAATAAACTAGTATTTCATTTCTCAGCTTCTGTATATCCTCTGAATATCACCTGAGAAATAAACATACACTCCCATTATGAAAGGCAATAATTAAAAAAATACAATCCACATTTAATTGAGGAAAAAAAAAGGAAATTTCTTCAGTCTGGTATACCTTTCTCCTTATGACTCAAAGAAGAGAAATTTTATGACTAATATTTAAGCTACTGTCTCTAAGGAAATTTTAGAAGTCTGCAAAGTTTAACCTAGTCGGTATTAATATTTATTTATCAGTGACCAAAATGTTGGGAAACTAGATTTTTCCAAGATCATAAAGTTTGTGTAACAAACCAGATTTCTCTAATAAACTATTGGAAAATAACACTGAGTACAACTGAAAAGCTAAATTGTGGCATTAAGAGTATCAATCATCCCAGTTGTAAGAAAATTACATAAATTTTATCTTCTTTTTTCTTTTCTTTTTTTTTTGTTAGTTTGTTTGTTTTTGCCATAGAGTACATGCACTCACTGTACAGAGATGAAGAGAGACAGAATGAGAGAAAGTAAAAAATTACCTCCTGAGGGAAGGACAGCACTACAATACCTTCTCCTTTATTCTCCTCTAGGGATTTTGGGCACACATGCACACTTCTCCAGCTTGATTTTCATACTGCTGGGTCCTTGACTCAAACGGAGTCAACCATGTGGTAATTCAGCACCTTAAGCATCACGCCACCTGCTGGCTCCATGAACTTTATCTTCTAACATGGAGGGGTAAATCTATATATCTTAAAATATATTTGGTTGACAGAAAGCATTGTTTTGTTTATACCTTTAGACATATTTATCCCATATTCGAGCAATATTCAGTAATATTTATTTGAAAAACAAATTAAACACGGTTTTATTCTACTAATATAGGTAACATTGATGAGCATTTCCTCTAGAACATACTATTCAATGTATCTCCACATGTAATCTTAAACGTTTTAGTAGGGAAAAATTGAAAAGTTTTTAAAGAACATAAAATTTATTTTAATAATATATTTTATTAATCCAACATATTCTAACTGCTATTATTTTAGCACATAAAAGTTTAAAAGAATCTTTGAGGTATTTTACATTTTTTATTTGCTAAGTTTTTGAAGTAAAGTGTGTATTTTACTCCTAAAACATATTTCAATTTGGGCTACATGCATTCCATATGCTCAAATTTTCATGTGGCTAATAGCTACTATGTTGATTAGCACTATATATTTGTTTTTTCAATGAAAAATAAACAGTAGATAAAGTAAATTTAGGGAAAAAGTATGTTACTTGTAAACTATAATTTTTCACTCTTTTCCATGTTTTGCCTCACAGGGGAAAGTCAAGGTTTTAGAAAGTGATTGAAGATTTTTTTCTGTCTTAAAATATTTCACAGGGACCAGCAGTTAGCATAATGGCTATGTCGCTGGACTCCCATGTAGTCGACCGTGGTTTGCGTCCCGGACCCGGCGGCTTAAACTCAGGCCAGGCGCATGTGCGTGCGTGCCTAAGATCCCGAGAGGAGAATGGAGGAGAAGGGATTGCGATGTGGCCATCCCCCCTGGGAGGTGATTTCTTGCTTTCTATCTCTCTGTCTCTCTCTTTCTGGTGAGCGCACGCGCTCTATAGCAAAAATCTCTCCAAAAAAAAAAGTTTCACGACATGAGTGATAAATCTTTTTTTTTTTTTTTTTTTGAGAAGGTCTTTACTATAAGGCATTTGCACTTGCCAGAGAGATAGAGAGAGAAAGAGAGACAGAAAGTGAGAAATCACCCCCCCCCCCAAAAAGGGGGATGGCCACGCTGCAATCCCTTCTCCTCCAATCTCCTTTTGGGATCATAGGCATGCGCACACACGCGCCTGTTGTGAGTTTAAGCCACCGGTCCTGGGACTCGAACCGCGGTCAACTAAATGGGAGTCCAGCGACATAGCCATTATGCTAACTGCTGGTCCCAAGTGCTAAATCTTAGAGACCACGTGATAAGGTTTTTTTTTAAGCTTAATTTATTGGCTTTTTACAACATATAGTCCTAAAATCCTACAGTGAAAACAACCCAAAAACCCAAGAGAAGCACAAAACTTTTGCACATGACAAGTAAGAACATCAGCGCAGAATAAGGAATGGATGTTAAGCTTTAATGGTAAAGGTTTATGAGAAGGCAGATGATAATCTTAATTTGTAAGTCCTTAATTTGTTTTCTACACATAATTATACATTTGTATGTATGTATAATATATGTATTTGAAACTAGTTTTTTCTCTTTATATTATTTTAATAAAATATATTTTGTATTAAAATTGAATAGTGAAATTGTCATAACTGATTATGCAATAAAATACATGAGTAGGAAATCTATCTTTCAGACCAAATAGCCATTGGCCAGCAGATAGCATAATAGTTACATTGCTGAACTCCCAGATAGTCGACCACAGTTCAAGTCTCAGATTCAGCAACTTGAAACATGGCAGGCATGTGTGCATGTGTGCCCAAAATCTCGAGAGGAGAATGTAGGAGAAGAGATTGTATGGCCATTCCCCCAAGGTGTGTGTGTTGATTTCTCATTTTCTGTCTCTGTCTCTTTTAGTCTCTCGGCCGAGCAAACATACCCTGTAGCAAAACTCAAAAAAACAAATTAATACTCACACAATTCTCTAATGAATGAGTATATACATATATACTGAAAATTAATTAGAAAGACAACTTTAAGTATATTACAGTCTTCATTTTTCTGAAGTGAAGTAAGAGAAATGTTGAAATATATATTAAGAGGAATAAAAATAAAGTGAAGGAAGGGACTTGGAGAAATTGAGAATACTTGTTCCTCTAACTTGAGGGAGGTGAATGATTAACATGAGGTTGAACAAAAATTAAAAATAAAGAAAAGGAAGTAGATATCTTATTATTCAGTTACATTAAAATTGCATTACAGTGAAAGTTATCATAGCAGTGTCTATCTGGCTTGCTTCACTTGGCAGTAAATCTTCCATATTTGTCCACTATTTATCAACTGTCAGGATCTCACTGTTTTTTATTACTGAGTAATAATATGTAGTATTTACGTTTCACATTTTTGTCAATCCAATCATCAGTTTGTGGGTATTTGGGTTGGTTCCATGTCTTAGCAATTGTGAATAATGCTGCAATAAACATGAATGTGCAAGTGTTTTCCTGAAAGCGAAATTGCTGGATCATATGGAAGAGAGGCATTGTATGTCCCCACTCATTATATACAGAAAGTTGGCACTCTTTGGCAGAGACAGAATGATTAGAAGGTATAAAGGCATGTACAGCAATAACTATAGTAA